AACAGGCGTTCGAGCTGCCGGTGAAATCTTTCGCGCAGACAATGCCCATCCTATCAAAGAGTTTCCCTCTATCTTAGGCTCCAAAGCCTCATCCTATTCTCACATATTCACGGACTTGCCTGCTCAGAAGGACACTGATGGATTCAAGAAACTTCTCAAGAAGCTTTCCAATCCATTAACGAGACGGTCCTATGATCATGAGGCTACGATGTCGCTCATTTCAAGCTCGCGACGGAGACCCCTGCGCCCGAAGATCGCGCCCTTAAGAGCAATCAAGAGCGAGGTCGAGTTACGCGTCATGCGTGCTGCTGCAGACATTAGTGGGCGCGCACATGCCAAGGTGTGTATACTCACCGCCAACTTTATGGTTGTAACCTCATTTTGCAGACTATGCGATTTACACGTCCAGGCATGAACGAGTCGGCAATCGCAGCTCATTTCGAGTATATATGCGCTTTAGACGGCGCCCAGCGGCCAGCCTATGTGCCCGTCGTTGCTTCTGGGTTCGTCTTTGCCTATACCTTGGTCCTCTATACTGATAGTTTTCAGTGCCAACGCCCTCATGATACATTATACCTATAATAATATGATTATTGACAACGGAGATCTCTTGCTTATCGATGCAGGTTGCGAGTACAAGTGAGACATGTCTTCCTTCATGGTCTTGAAAGATGCTTACAGTTTACTTGCCTGCAGTGGCTATGCGTCAGATATCAGTACGAATTCCCCACTCAAAGTTAGCGGCATTTCACTAATAAGATTCTATTAGCACGAACTTATCCTGCTAACGGAACATTTACATCTGCGCAACGCGATCTGTACTCAGCTGTCCTATCTGCACAAAAGGCTCTAGTAGCTATGTGTCACGAAGGAGAGGCTGGCACCATGCTATCACTACATTCGGCCTCATGCCGTTTATTGCGAAGCGAGTTGGCTCAGATTGGTCTCAACGTCAGTACAGAGACGCTCTCGAAAGAGCTGTACCCACACTCACTTAGCCATCCTATCGGAATTGGTGAGGCATCCCTTAAACTGAAACGTCGTTTATTGACGTTGTCCTCAGACCTACATGAGTCGTTTACGATTAATCGGAACACAAAGTACGTTGTCCTGTCGCTTTTTTCTGTTTGTTTGAATTGTTTTGCGCATAGATTGCAAGAAGGTATGGTCATTACCATCGAACCTGGCATTTACGTCCCTCCGTCACCTCAATTCCCCAAGCATTTCCACAATATGGGAATACGCATTGAGGTCAGCCATCGATTCTCGTTGATTTAAGGAGTTGCTCATTGGTTATTTTTAGGACGAGGTGATGATTGGGAAGACGGGTCCGACTGTTTTGTCCGTGGCGGCGCCAAAAGAGGTACGAGTACTTGCTTCCGTGCACCACATTTCTCTAAAGGAAATCAACAGATTGCGGATGTCGAAGGAGCATGCCAAGGGTTGTTGGGACTGGAGCCGTACTAATCGGTCGCATTTGTTGGTAACACAGTCTTAATGTGACTCGCGGCGCCTTGTCCATGAATGTCTTGACCTTCTGTTGAGCGAAGCCACGCTCGAGCTTGCATGTCGAGGTACGTCCTGCACCGTCCCAAAAAACTGTTAACAACTGCCGTGTTCTGTACCACCACAGCTGGCGGTACGAGGGAGTCTGCTTCGGATCCCGTCCGGAATGTTTGGTCCTCACTCTCAGTTCTGTGCTGTGTCAGGCCGAGATGGTTTTCCTAGCAGACATGAACACTTGGTTGAAAGTTGACAGCAAGAACCCCAAGGCCCGATCATTGATTCACACTGTTGAACTACTGTTGACCACCAAGTGACTACCAGTCCTCATGTCTGCCCTCTATGCATTCAATAACAATTTTGTGAATGGCAACACTGTTCACCGATCTCCTCGTCACCGCTCAAAACCGGAGCCGAGCGCGAGGTAGAGCCCATCCAAGAGGTTTTGACGGCTCGAGGTGTACAGCCCGACAAACTGTACTCGGCCGATACTGCTCGTAGTTCGGGCCGGCATCTGCTTGGGCCCGGTCGTGAGCATGGGACTCGGACTGCCAACGCATTCTGATGATCTTCTGTCACCGGGCTTAAGCACTAACTATCATGCTACAGGATACTGATAGTCCAATACCTGCGATCCAGTGGAAGGACTTCGTTCCCTCTCTTTACAAGACGAGAAAGCCGCCGCAGCCACTTGGAACTGTCTTGATATCGGACCTCGAAAGGAAAGCTAAAGAGAAACTAAAAGACCATCCTGGTTCGTATTCCTACTCTTCCGCACCCTGGTCCGCGCGCTGACGACTTGGAATCGTAGACTGTTTCGAATACGCGCGGGGGAATGCTGGATCAGAGTCTACATTCGACGCCAACATCAAGGCTTTTCAGCGGTACAGGATCATACCGCGTATGATGGTCGACACCACCCACCGCAATCTTGAGGTTGGCGGTTCTCATTTGATCATGAGAATCAAAGATTGATTACCGCCTGACAGGCAACTATACTTGGAGTTCGGTATCCGACACCGCTCGTCATAGGTCCCATCGGAACGCAGGCGCTGTTTACGGAGGAAGGTGAGCTCGCCCCGGCGAGAGCGGGTAGGGTCCTTGGTGTGCCGTTTGTGCTTAGCAGTGTGGCTTCGAGGAGTATTGAGGATGTTGCGGAGGCGAATGGGAATGGGCATAGGTTTTTTCAGCTTTATTGGTATGATGTCGAGCTGTCTAAGAGTTTCTTTGTTGATGGCGTTCCAGGCCTAAATCAGACGATATCACGTTGTCTCTGCTCAAGAGAGCGAAGGACAACGGATACAGTGCGCTTGTGGTCACACTAGACAACTTTTCGATTGGATGGCGTACGCATGATATTAACGCAAGTATGTCGCTGTCTCTGTCTACGCGTATCATTGCCTTATGACGACGATGATCATAGCGTTCGCGCCCCCGCTCCACGGATACGGGAACGAAGTCGGACGCTCCGATCCTGTGTTCATGGCAAAGCTTGGACTAAAACCAGTGACGAACCATCGTCCCTCGTTTCCGTACGAGTACAAGAAACTAGACGCGCTGCTGCAGCAGGGCGACGCCCACCAGGCGCACGAGGCGAAGGTTGGTATGGGCTGGGTGGCGGAGGTGTGCTCGGGGCACTACCGGTCCTGGGATGCGTTGAGGTTTTTGAGAGACAATTGGACGGGGCCGATTGTTTTGAAGGGCATTTTGAAAGCTAGTGTAAGCCTTTATATTAATGTCGGTGTCAGAGGGCTGATTGATGTGTAGGATGCGGAGAAGGCGCTGGAATATGGGATTGATGGGATCGTCGTGTCTAATCACGGTACGCGTCTCCAAACGCGTACATCTGCGTGTAACCTGACAATGTGCAGGAGGGCGTCAAGTCGACGGTGCCATCCCGTCGCTGTACGCTCTAGTCGACATCATGCAGTCGCCGAAAGTCGTAGCGGCTCAAAAAGCGGGGACTTTGTCCGTCCTCCTCGACTCGGGCGTACGAACGGGGAGTGACATTATTAAAGCGCTCGCCCTCGGGGCGCAGGGTGTTTTTTGTTAGTCGCTACAGCCATCTTGCCTGCCTCTAGCACTGACACATATTTATTTATGCAGTGGGACGTGCGTACCTCTGGGGCTCCATCATTGCGGGACAGGAGGGAGTGGAGCAGGTGCTGAGACAGACGATGGCGGATCTGGATGTGACGTTAGGGTTGATTGGGTATCAGAGTTTGGACGATGTTCGGGCGATGGGTGGTGAAGTGGTGAAGAAGATTGACTTTTGAAAGGTACATACATCCTATCTGTATTGCTTAGGCGGCGTGCGGCCAAGAGTGATATGCTCGAAGTCCAAAGGAGAGATGAGTTTCCGTATTCTTATAAATTGATGTTTGCTTAATGTCAACCTTACCGACGAGTGTAACGTTAAGCCAATGTGCGAAGGTGTCGCTGAGGCGGCCTGAAAAGAGAGTGGCGCAGAGGAACTATCCGATATGGTGTAACGGCTAACATTGCCGCCTTTCACATCCCATAAAGTTCGATTCCGCGGCAGCTCGGGGTTCGATTCCCCGTATCGGAACTTTTTGAAGTGTCAAACAATTTTTTCTTCTAAGTTCTTAGTTCTAACTTGTTACTTTACTTCTTAGGGTGGCGCAGTAAACCTCCGGGGTGTAAGTAACGGAATTGATACCGACACCCCAGGAGGCCCTGGCCCCTGGTTTTGAAACCGTTAGTAACGGTTTCGATACCGGCACGTGCTTTTACCACGTGATGTGGCGTACCCCTCCGCCGCCCTCCGCCCGCCCTTATCCCACCACTTTCAGCTTCCCTGACGGCCAGCGTGCCATCATGTGTCGGTATCAAACTGTACCCATACCTCATCCGAGGTTTCGATACCGTATTGATACTGTTAAAAACTGCAGTAAACCCGAGGTGAATGGAAACCTAGGGTTTACTGCACCACCCTAAATTGTGCCGCAGTCATTTTTTAGTATTTTACTAAGGTTGCGCTAGCTCAGGGCTGTAGCTGACGCGCAGTATCTTGCCTCAGGCGAACAATATGACCTTATTTTGGGCTGTGTTATCAACGGCTAGAATTTTGTAACGCTAACACCCGCCCACATGAGCATGTGGCGTATTTTTACAGTCTGAAACATTTTTTTCTTCTCAGCCCCCAGAAGCCTCTCCAACTTATTAACTGGTTAAATGAATACATAATGAACTTTATAGGTGGTCTTCCGAATCACTTCCACTACTACGACTCGTCACTCCCGGGGAGACGACAATTAAACAGCCACTGGCACCAAAAAAGAATGGCTTACTTACAGACAGATCCACGCCCTCAGAAACACAATTTCAACTCTGGCGGTAGCTCATCAGTCTGGTGCTTGGCCCATGGTGAGTCTAGAAAGTCCCGCAACGTCCCGATCTTGGTCTTTGCATACATGACCTCCACCTCATCGTTGACGGTCCCCAGCGTATCCGCAGCCGACAGATTCCCCTTCTTCTCCAGTCTAAGGAGCTCTTGCTGGAGCTCGTACAACCGCTGATGAATCTGCATCTGCCGATCCGTGAATGGCGAGACGTTCAGACTCGTGATTGTAGACGGGGCGATGATGGACCGGCGTATGGTATCCGCCGCCGTGTGGGTATCGTAGATGGAAGGGTATGTGGGCGGTGGCGGCTTGGTCGTTTCAGGTATCCATAAGGATCCGCCGAGATGATGGATGGCGTGTGGACGGTCATGGGCGGCGAGTCCATGTACTTTTCCGTCATGTACTGCCTGAAGGAGGACGGCGAATACGAGTCTCGCACCATGCGCTGCGGCCGGAAGGCGCGTCTGCGCCGGCGGCGGATGAAGACATAGCCAAGGACGCCAACGATCGAAAGGAAGGTTAGAACACCAAACACGATCCCGATTATGGTTCCGGTGTTATTCCTTTTTTGCTGTATCAGACATCATATCGCTAACGCGCAGAGAACATACCCAGAAGTCGCGAGTGAAGTAGTGCCGGAATGGTCATCGTCCTTCTGGTGATGGCCATTATTGTTGCCTTTATTGCCACCACCACTTCCTCCTCCTCCTCCTCCATCATTGTTATCCTTGCCAGAGAAGGTCGAGTTTTTCCCGACTTGGATCACGTTGCTTCTCGCAAGCGCATTCTCCAGTGTTGGATTGCTAAGCCGTTCGTCAGAAATCGCGCCACGGTGACAAATTGAGGAAAATATACTTGGTGTTGTCAACCGCCACAACTTGGTATCGCCTAGGAGAATGGTCAATAAGCACGCGAGGAGAAGCTAGTATAGTGACTGACATGGGGAAAAAGAAAACTATGAATGTCGAGGTATTTGCATTGAAGGAATCCACTGGGAAGACGGGTTGGGCAAACTCCCCGCATCCAGCTGGTATTTCTTGAGAAACAATTGTTCGGGATCACCAGGCTCGTGAATAAGCGTAACATTCGTGTCGGCCCCCTGCGTTGTCGTATTGGCCACAACAATCTGCAAAACAAGTCGACCATGGTAGCCAGACCCTGTAAGCCGAGCTATCGTGAGAGGCCGTACGTCGTAATTCAGTGGCCGACGTACAAAAGTGCGAATAAACCACCCAGAACAATCATAGCCAGCCTGAGGATTCAGGAAACGAAGAAAAAAAGACCGTGAAGGAGAGAAAGGAGAAGGGTGGGAAGGAGAGATATCGCGTCGTCTCCCGTATAGTCTTTAGATCTGCCATTGACACTGATTGAAGGTAGAGGTAAGATGCAACTATCAGTGAAACACCGGCAACTGACAGCTCACATCATAAACGCCGCTAAAATGGTGGGATGGAGATCTCACCTCACCCGCCAAGCTGATGTATACAGCCATATTCGTGTATGCAGTGTTCTCGGATGATGCAGAAATGCGGTAGGGATCGCGTGGCCTGTCCAAACGCCCTTCTCCTCACGGATACTTTGAAACTGTACAATTTTGTTGGCGGGTGACGAGATCAACGCATGAACCCAAGAGATTACAGCAGTTGTGGGTACCATTTTGCCCTGGTCTCCCACGGAGACAACGGGAAAGCGACCGATGCATAGCCCTGTCGCTGCACGGATCCGAAGTCAGCTGTCGAGATGTTGTAACGTATTCTCCTTCAATATATGGTCCCATCTGCAATTCGACAAGCGACCACGAAGAGATAGTCATTTGTCCTTGTCCTTGTCCTCACTATCTACGTCGTCGTCGTCATTCCGCTCGTCCCTATCCTTATCGCCGTCTTCCGAGTTAGACTGATCAAGTCTGCGCTCGTAGATACGTTGTTTGAAGCTCCGAGTTCGTAAGCAGCCTCTGCCTGAACCCTCTCAGACTCCCGAGATGCAGTTGCATATTCCGGAGGTGGCAACCTGTTATTGTTCGAATGAAGCGAAGGCGCGTGTTCCCCTGTGATCATCTCGATGAAAGGCTCCGATGACTCTGTTCGTGAGGGTTGAGCAACCCCTCTACGACTCCATACACTTGCATACTCTGGGAGGGAAGTGTTGTTTGAGTAAAGTGAGCCCGAACGATAACGATCCCTCGTGATCTCGACAACTGGGGGCTCTGTTGACCCATGGACCGAACTTCCCTGAAGATAACTCGTCATATCGTTCAGGGCATTGTGAGACTACTTACTGGACTCAGTGGCAGATCGTGACTCATCTGCGACGCAGACAATTCAGGTCGAAAATTTGGCATATGGCCAGAAGAACGTTCATCTATGTTTTGAGGAACAGCTTGACACGCTACGCGAGCAGCGTTCTGGTGGAGGCGGCGGCGGCGGACGAATATATAGATGAGCACGCCAGAGAGGGAGACTGTGGCTAGACCCAAAACAATGATCCCAGCTATGAGCGTGTTAATTCTTTTCGTGATATCAGACATCACATCGCTAGTGCACGGATGAAAACATACCCAGAAGTGGTTTGCGAAGTCGAAGTGGTCCCAGATATCTGAATTGAAGAATCACTGGCACTGTTATCACTGGCACTGGTAGTCACGGTGGCACCACCACCATCATTATCACTGCCAGAGAAGGTCGCGTTCTTCCCGACTTGGATCACGTTGCTTCTCGCAAGCGCATTCTCCACTATCGGGTTGCTAAGCCATTCGTCAGAAATCGCGCCACTCTGAGAAATTGAGGAAGATATACTTGGTGTTGTCAACCGCCATAACTTGATATCGCCTATGAGAATGGTCAATAAGCACGCTAGGGAGCTAGTATAGTTACTGACATGGGGGAAAAGAAAACTATGAATGTTGAGGTAGTTGCATTGAAGGAATCCACTGGGAAGACGGGTTGGGCAAACTCTCCCGCATCCAGCTTGTATTTCTTGAGAAACAACTGTTCGGGATCGCCAGGCTCATAGATAAGCGTCACATTCGTGTCGGCTCCCTGCGTTGTCGTATTGGCCACAACAATCTGCAAACAAGCCGACCATGGTAGCCAGACCCTGCAAGCCGAGCTGTCGTAAGAGGCGGTACGTCGTATTCAGTGGCCGACGTACAAAAGTGCGAATAAACGACCCAGAATAATCATAGCCAGCCTGAAGATTCAGGAAACGAAATTGAAGAAAGCGAAAGAAAGGATGGGCAGAAGAGATATCACGTCACCTCCTGTTTCGTTCTTGGATTCTTCACCAACAAGATGTCTGTGAGAGGCAACGATCATTGTTCTCATGCCGGCAACAGGGAGCGAACATCCTAAAAAGTTGGGTGTATCCGGCACCATTGAAACGAGAAGCTTGGCGCACGGCCATGCAAACATCAACTCACGCGCATGACAACATGTGTTGGGAGAGAACCACAGGAAAACTCTGATCATCCTCCCGCGTCGAACACTGTCCCGGTCTTGAGATACTACAGCTTTGAGATGACGATCAGGTTCATTACAATGGCGGTCGTGGCAACTTCCTCGAACCTCCGACTACTATATCTGCATCAAATCATGTCCAGCACCAGATAATTCAGACACACCGTTGTAATGAGGAGCAAAGCCGAGTCCCATCCCAAACAAAGTGGTTCCCCAAGGCGGGATGGTACGAGCAAAAACAACAAGCCTCACTAGCAGCGGCCAGTTAAGCCTCAATCGAGATCCATCGATATCATTGTCAAGATGCACATGCGACCAATCTGCCATTGTCGCGAACTCTTACTTGACGCGTAAATGATGATCGTGTGCGAACTGAATGTGTGCGAAGAGTCGTTTCGAGGTAGAATTTCGGGTTGAGAAGAGCGAGCGTAACACCCAAGATAACTGGAAAATTGTCACTATCCTGTTATCATCGTGATGCGTCAACACTCTGAGGAGGCATCCACTGCGGCGAGGCTTCAACATCACGGACGAGTTGCATCATCGTTGAAGTGCGGTGTGATGGCTCCAGACTCTATGGTTTCCTATCACATTCTTTCATGAATCTGTGATTTAGTAAGTATGATGAAATGCAACAAAAGATTGAGAAGGTACCGGTGCAGAAGTTCCCTCGTGTGCTTGATCCAGGCGGCTTGCGTGCTCGTAACAAGAGAACAGATAAAGCGAAAATAGTCTTTATTCAGTAAAAA